CTGGCGATGCAGATTGCAAGAGCAGAGTATGTTGGTAAAGAATAGTCTGATGTCACATCAGGGTGCTCTGTTTGGGGTCACTGTTCTGTATCTGTCTATGGTTTTCAGGGTTGTGGGTGGTAGTATTTTATTTTTTGTTTGTTTTGTTGTTGTTTTCATCTTTTTCCACCAGGATCAAAAAGGAAGGGAGATGGCCTTTTTTTGGAGCTTTAAAGGGGAGAGGATGGGTATGTGGATATTTACATGAAATGGATGCTATTTTAAGGCCTTAGAGTGAGGAATGAAGTGAAACATGGATAAAATAATTTTATAGCAAATATGTCTCCTACATTGTTGTAATTCTGGCTTGCATGGTTGAAAAGTAACAAGCTCAAAAAAAAACCAAAATCACAATTCTACGGGGATGGTGGATTTTAGAATCCAGTGACCACAGACCTTGGTGTTTTAACAAACCCCAGCATCAAGTGTCAAAAATGCAAATTGGGTCTCAGAATGAGAATTTTCCAACCCTCTGCTTGGCAGCTTAAAAATAAGGAGAAAAAAATAGAGTGCAGTGTCCAGTGCCACACAGCTGGTTACTAACGACTGGGGTTAGAATTGATATTTTTTAACTACTGCCACACTTCAGGGCCTCTGTCAGAGTGGCCTGGGGCTCACTTCATTAGCATCATCGTCTTGCCACAGTTGATCTCTACTCTAGTGGGGATGTAAATAGGCCTCTTCTCCTCTATCACTGGGATGGCGCCTCCAAGGGTTTAAGCGTAGATACCTGGAATCCCATAGGATGCCATTGGCAATGGGAAACCATAGTGGGCACTACAGATGGCCTCTGAAAAATTTCATGCATGTAGCAAACAAAGGCAGATGTATCAGTTAACACATTAAAAGATAATTTCAGAGGCACCAAAATGCATTGATATCACATTAAGAAATGAAAACAAAGTACTTCCTCTTGGAATAGTTTGATCAAGACTGAGGCCAAATTTAAATTTTCACTTCTCTCCCTGTATCTTCCATCTATCTATAGCTTGTGGTTACTGGTCTGTCTGTTGTATGTGTGTGTATACATATGCCTGATGTCTGTCTGTCCCTAAAAAGGGGGGGGGCTTCTTTGTCTTTATTGCAAAGCACAGAAAATGTGGCATGGGAAAGAAAAGAGGGAAACTTTATAGAAATATTTAATGGAGCTTTATAAGGAAAAAGGTTACTAGTCACAATCGACCCAGAACAGCAAACAGTACAGCAAACGGATATTATCGACCTATATCCATTTTGCTTCCAACATTTATGTGGCATATTTGCTGCTTAAGGTTGCTTCCAACCCATTGGCTGCTTTCAGCAAATAATTACCATGACACATACATACAGAGACATTACTCAGGGCCCAGGGCATGGAAAAGTATATGACCCAAGATTGGCTATGTTTTAGTTTAGATTCTAAAAGATGACTATGTGGGCAATCCAAGGCATGGTTGTTTATATTGCTCTTTTACAGGTAGGTTAAACGTAAATAGGACAAGTACATAGTAGGACAGCAGGCTAAGTACATACATGATCTTAAGTGATCTCAAGGTATATTAACTTTGTTTCAAGTTCTGGAAATGGTAAATCTTTTTGAACACAAAGTGTATTTTCAGAACAATGTATCACTACAGGCAGATTCCATGACAGAATTCAGGGGCACCTTGTCCATTTGTTTTCCACACAGGACTGCCATGTCCCGAGGGACAAAAGATAGTTTTAATTCCTATCCTATTTCCAGCAAGGTGGTTACTACTTCAATCCATAAGTAGCTTGTGGAATGAATAAAACAGAATAAAAATAAACATAAACATGCACATATAGGCCTATTTTCAATGAGGTAAGAAAAGTGGAGTTGACACTGGTGATGGTAGTCGTGATGATGATGATAATTATGGCTGGTGATGTTGAGGATGATGGAAACACTAAATAGGCTGCTGACTTGGAGTGTTCTTTTTATGCCAGATACTACATAAGTGCAGCTCTTTGTCTTACAAACACATGGTGTTTCGTTGAATCTGCACCAGAGCTTTAGTGAATAGTGACCACTGTCATCTGTGTTCTATAGACAAGTCACTGGAGACACAAGGTTTCAAGTCAAATGCCCACCACAACCAGCTGGAGAGTCAGGCTTCTAACCTACTGCATCCCACTGGGACTATTTGTCATTATGCTTCCCTGCATTCTCCCAAACATCTGCACTTTTACCACAGCAGGGTAGGTCAAAACCTCCCCAACCTGGTCTGATACAGGCATGGGGAAGTGGCATAAAAACACAGCGGGCAATGTGTGTGAGCTCAGAAGGAACACAACTAAAGACATGGTGTCCATTAGTATGGGAAGCCCCAATAGCCTAGCACTGTGGCCAGCAGAGTGTTTGAAAGCATTTGATAAAAAATAGATGAGTGAATGAATGAACCCATGAGCCGATAAAGGCACACAGTGATCATCAATGCTCACTTTTGCTTGTGTACACAGAGCAAGACCCTTTCTCTTCACCTACATGTGCTTCATGGCTGTCCCCTGACTGGCAGCTGAAGTCTGGAAGCGCAGAGTTTACAGTTCTAAAAGTCCTGTGGGTTTAGAGCTGGTCCCAACATGTTGTTACTTTACTGTTTACACTGAACAGATTAAAAATAAACCATCCAGTGTTAAACCACTTTTACCTGCATCTAGAGCAGTGGTTATCAACCTGTGGGTATCGACCTCTTTGGGGGTCAAATGACCCTTTCATGGGGGTCTCATGAGACCATTGGAAAACACAGATACTTATATTACAATTCATTAACAGTAGCAAAATTACAGTTATGAAGTAGCGATGAAATAATTTTATGGCTGGGTGTCACCACAATGTGAGGGGTCACAGCATTGGGAAGGTTGAGAACCAGGGTTATAGTCTTCTCTTAGTGGTGGCCCATGTGTAGATATCCATTGTAGTAACACCTCCTCCTAAGGCCTGACCTCCAAACGACTCTCTGTGTCTGTGCATTTGTCTTACTCTGTGTAGAGTGAGGGCCATTTGAGTGTGAGTGTTGTAATGCCCCCCTCCTCACCAGGCTATGCACATCTGGAGGGCCCCAAGGAAGCCACACAGACTGAGAGCAAAGTCTACACACATGCTGAGTGTAACAGCCACAGGGGAAGGACCTTTCACCTCTTGCCTTTCACCTTTACCAGTTCACAGACAATAGGACTTCTGGCCAGTGTTGCAGGTAGAGAATGGAAAAGAAACTTGTCTGACTCAAGTTAAAGAAGATTAAGAGAATGTTGTGTTTTGAATGCAGTTTCTCCCAAAATCTCATATGTAGAAGGCCTGGTCCTCACGTGGTAGAGAATCTAACCATCAAAAAGGTTACTGGATGAAACAGGCTTTATTCAACCATAGTTAGTCTGTTGTTGGGTTCATAATTTGGTGGAAATATTGGAAGACCCGGCCTGCTTGGATGTGTCTTTAGAGGGTATCTTGTCTTTGGCTCCATCCTATCTGTCTGTGTCTTTGCTTTGGGACCACTATGAAGTGAGTCCCCTCTCCATATGCCATTACTGCCATTACTAATTCCTCAGCACATCCCAAAAGCAATGGAGCCAGTTGGCTCTGGACAAAATCTCCGAAACTGTGGGCTAAAATAAACAATTCATCCTTTAAATAGTATCTGTCAGTTAAAATAGCACAAGAACAACATTTGACAAATATAATAGCCACATAAGGTTCTGATAAGTGGCAGAGTTCAAAGCCAGGTTTGTTAGATATGAATGCTTGGGTTCTCATGGGCAAACTTTCCAACCACCTCCCCTGTAGCCTTGTGCCCCTACAATACCAACTACAGAAGGTGTTCAAGACTTGCTAGATAATGTGAATAGACAGACTAAGAATACTGTAACGTATGGCAGTGGCCATGTGGCAAGTCCTTAGGGACAAAGGAGAAGCATGGATTTGTAGTCATTAGGGCCTGGCATCTTTCCCATTCCTCCCCCTGCCACTAGACATGGTAGGCTGAGGCTTTGCCCAGTGCCTTCAACCACATATTATAGTTGTAATCAGCACATGTCCAACTTTAGGGGGGAATTCCCTTTCCTCTGGTGGCCCAGGCTGCCAAAAGGCATGGCTGGAACAGCTACAACACTCACCCGAAGGGTTGTGATGGTAGCAGGATCCCGGAGCCGGCCCTCCTCATCTTTCAGGTTGTAGCCTTCTGGCCTCTTATCACGCTCACTGACTTTCCACAGCTTCACAGTTTTATCTGTGGAGGGCAACCAGAAGTCAGGATGACAGTGCAAGGACACTTTCTCTAGGGATGGGCAATGGGGTGAGGGTGGGGGTTGTGGTGAAGGTAATGATGGCAAGGAGGGCTATCGGAGCCAGCTATTGAAAGTGATGTCCTGCATAAATCTCATGCCATCTGAAGGAAAAGCTCACAAGGCAAAACAAAAACCCAGATTGTGTTGGGACAAATGGCTTTGTCTGATGATTCACTTTTAAACATATACCTTACATTTTAATTTGACACATTCAATAAAAATGTTGACTGAAATTGAATAAGAATAGTCACATATATAGAGTTCACTATGTAGCTATTAGTACATGGACAATTAATTTCATGTTCACGATCACTCTGGGAAGTAACCATCTCTATTTTTAGCATCCACCCTCCTTAGACACTGTTCTCACCAGACTCCCCAATAGCCCTCCATAACCGTGCACTCTTGACTTCCTCAGCACTCTCACATTGCTGACCACCCTGCCCCCAAACTTCCTGTGCTGCTGTCACAGGGCTTCTTTCTTTTGCCTAGGCCACCAAGCACACTTCTGCCTCAGGGCCTTTGAACTTACTGTGCCTTCTCTGTCAGGAAAGCCCTTTGTTATCTATCATCTGTCTGTCTGTCTGTCTGTCTGTCTGTCTGTCTATCAATCATCTAATCTATCTTCTATCTTCTATCTAATCTAATCTAATCTAATCTAATCTATCTGGCACTTAGGGTTAAAGTTCTCTGACAATGAATTACCTGCCCAGGCCCCATAACTGTTCATATGACTCACTCATTTTTTATGTCCCAACCTCAGAGTAACTTATACAGAACCTATATAAAATGGTTCTATACCCGTTCTTTCTTCTCTCTTTGTCCTTGACCATGTCCTCTTTCTTCCCCTCTCTCCCTTTTCTTCTGCACAGTACACTTCCCTATCAATTGGTTGAGTTGGCTATCTGTCGGTCTGTCTATCTATCATCTGTCACTAGAAATCTCTGAAGTTTTATCTGTCTTGTTCATCACTGTACTTTCAGTATTTAGTGGTACCTGGGGCTCAGTAATATCAGTATCAATAACAAATAAATATTAGTTTGAATGGATATCTTCTCTGTAAGAGTATACTTTTTATATTGAGGGAAATAAAATGATGTAAAGATAAAGCAAAATGCTTTTATCAGGCTGGGGGCATAACTCAGTTGCCTAGCAATGTAAAGCCCTGAGTACCACTCACTCCAGTCTCTTCTCCCTCTCCCTCTCCCCTCTTCTTCCCTCCTCACCTCTCTCCTTTCTCTCTCTCCTTCCTTCTCCCCTTCTCTCTCTTGTCTCCTCTGTTCCCTTCCTTTCCTCTCTTCTTTCTCCTTCCCTCTCCTCTCCTCTCTCTCTTTTTCTTCTTGCTGCTTCCTGATAATTTCCAGTGATAAACTATAGTTTATATTGTCCTATCATCTTGCGTCCCTTGATGACACCTGTCCTTTGCTATAGCATTGAAACAAAAAATGAGAACTCCAATGCCTCCAGGTGCTGACAGCTCAAGGTAATGATGGAAGGGATTTGGGACTCTGGGGAACGGATGAGGCATGCCCCACCCAGGCTTTCAATTCTATATTTTTAGAAAACATGTTTTGGCTAAGCCAGTCTTGTCTGTGTGCCATATGGCCTCTAACACTTTCCTTATCAGATCACACATTTGCAGTCTGTACTTGTCTTTACCTTTCCTTCTGAAATGCAGGGGTACACTTGATTTCTCTGTATTTGTCTCTATTGGAAAGGATTTCATATGAGATATTGTAAGGCCCAGTTCCCACTACTGCCTTAGATAGCTGTTAGATCTCAAACCCAGGACAAAGAGCTAAGATGTCTATTGACACATGAAAGGAGACTCTGGCTGTCAGGCTCTCCCAGCATCCTTTAGTCTTTACCTGGCTAGCACACCCTGTTTCTACCCTGAACTGTCCAAACCTGGGGCTGGGCTGACCCTTATCCAGGATTCTCTGGCCCCTACTTAACTCAGCCATTTTTGCTGTGCCAGTCTCTTGACTGGGTTGCCATTTCTTGGTCAGTGGTTACTCTCTTGCTCTTCCTCTCTGTCCTTCTTCACATGGCCTGGCTCAGTCTGGCCATCTTCATTCTAGATTCTACTAGATGTCTCTGCCTCCGTCTTTGGCTGTTTTTCTCCTGCATATCTACAATAAATCTTCTCTTCCATACATAGGAAGAGCTATTCCCCCCTCCTCTCACTGAACAGCCACATGGCCAAGGACTATGGTCCTTGTGAGAAGGCACATAGAAAACAGTCCTGGAGAATGATCATGAGGAAACAAGGAAGTGCAGAATGGCCACTTAAATCTCAGTCTCAGTATACATACACCCACATATTTAAATATTACACAGTTGTCACCCTATACACATTTTATTCATTAAACTGGCAGAAATGGCATCTTTCTTATGGGGACTTTAGGATGAAATGAATCAACATGTTTAACTGTGTTGGGCTTCTCAAAATGGTGTCTAAATAGCAGCTGTCCGAGCCACAACTCTGCAGTAATAAGAGGTTACGCTCTCGCCTTGAGCGTCATTCCACAAGGATGTCTACACATCTATCTACACATCTTAAACTGCTTTTAATGGGACTCTTTGATTTTCTGTCCTGTCTCATTCCTCCACTAATCACCAGGCTCCACACTATCACTTCCCAACTGCTTCACCTTGGGCGGACCATTCTTGCCAGCAAAGGCATGTGACCTCACAGTAGATCACGACTTCATGTCTTGACCTGAGAGGTCTCAAAAGTACTGTGTTGTGGGTTGTCTGCAGCAATGGTGATATTTTAGTAAAAATCATCTTCATACCCCTAGGTATTACTTGGGTTTCCAAGCCTATACTCTCATGTGTGGCAAGGCTGTCCCTTTTGGGACCCATGCATTCTCATCTATGCGCTAACCCTGACTTGTGCTGGGAGGAGAGCCTTTCCCAGCTGTGGGCTTAATTTAGAAATTGCCAGCTCTGTGCTCACATCCCTCTTATCCCAAGCTCTCTTGAGATCCTGTTCATGTGAAGTTGCTTTTTTAGAGTGAGAAAGTTAAACATGGACCATATTTATAAAGTCAGTTGATTTGCTTTTCATCAGCTGTGGCTGAGAACAACCCATGAGCCAGTGAATTTCACCACGAAATATATCTGTTTCTTGGCTTTGAAATGTGTCCAAGTCTAGTTATTTGCAAGGCATTTTATCTTGGTATTTCATATTACAAATGATAAAGTTCCATAGAGAAAATAGAAGTCATAGGTAAAACATGAGGATAAAAGTTGCCTATATGACATCCAGCTAGGGATAATCCATGATCAGCATTTTGTATATATTCTTTTGGATTTTGGTATATGGTCTCCCTATGTAGCTCTGGCTGTCCTGGAACAGAGACCACATTCATCTGCCTGCCTAGTGCTGGAATTAAAGGTGTGCTCCACCATGACCATCTCTTGTGTAAACTCCTATATTTTCTGTATGCAGTATTTTGGGGCTAGGAACTACAATGATGTTATGTATACTAAGTTACATATTTAATCATTTTCCTTTTGTTATATAATAGGTTCATGGCATTGTAATTGGAAAGTGAGAATGAGCAGAAAGGTTAGAAAAGAAAAACTTGGACAAAGATTACTATGTACATAGTCTTCCACTATGTCCTTGCTTAACAAGCACTTTCTAACAAGCACTATGCTATATAGGTGATGTTTGCATTTTGCTTGCTGTATATTGATACCAACAGCTATCCACATACTATATTTATAGAATCTATTACATGTGATATATTACACTACAGGATATGTAATTTGTAGTTAGAATTTGTAAACTAAAAGCCTAATAGTGGGAGACTGATAATTAAGTCACAGAAGTCCCACATCACACGAGGGAATAATATGCAGTCATTAAAACACAGAAGAATCAAACCATACAAGCAACCAACATGCAGTCATTAAAAACCATATGGTATTTTAATAAAATATCAGTTAGGAAAATATTCTTGTTGCTATATTATTAAATTTAAAAATCTGGCTTAAAAACACCCTGTAGAATAGATCCTATTTCTGTAAGTAGTACATCATTTACATCTTTTTCTCTAAAAGACACTAACAGTAGCTCTGTCTGTACCTGAACACACATTGCCTTTGCTTTGTGTCTGGGTCCTTTTTTAATTTTCACAATGAACACCACAGTACTGTGCTTTTCTCACCATAAGCAGCCAGGCAGGAGAAGTAACCCAAGCAGAGTAATGTGTCTTTGTGTGGCAAAAACATCAAGGTCTATTTCTCAATGGAATACTAGCTTTATTTTTCTTTAGAAGTTATGAAGTTAAAAACATATTCTAGCAGAATTAGTTACTATACTCAACTAATGAGATTAGTACCTTTTCCTTCCAAAAAGATAATTGATGGAGAATTCAATCCAGTTCTCCAAGGTTGTGTTGCCTGGGGGGTCATACTTGCCTTTATTATCACAGAATTTTCATTAGACTTAGAATCTTGAAGGTGTGTGTGTGTGTGTGTGTGTGTGTGTGTGTGTGTGTGTTGGGGGAACTCCAAGGAACATGCAGCTGTTAATATGAGAAATGGCTTTTTCTTTCTTCTGCCTTGTTCTCTGAGTAGTTTATCATCACTTGTGGCAGCTTTAAACACAACCTTATCATTTATCTTCATTTTCTCTTTTATATAGTAATTCCCAATGTCTTCCATTAATTTTTGAATGTTAACCTATTTGGCTTAAGGGGGAGATTTTCAACCTTAATATTAGTACAGAAAAGAAAACCTCATAAGAACATGGGGATTTTACTTAGAAGAGTCATTTTTGAGATGCAGTTGGCATGTGAAATAGCATCCCAAATGGGAAGATAATATCCTTGTTAATCAAAAAACTATTTAAAAACTCAATTAACAGAACATTATGCTATATAATTAATCTTCATTGAATTTCACTTTCTTTCCCATCCCCCTTACAAAGTAGTTAATAAGCCTTTGGATTTTATTGCAATAATCAATAGGCTAAATTTCATAATATAATGTAATCTAGCTATGGAAAGACAATTGGACACTTTTCTGCTACTGAAGTAATTACATCAAAAACCACCATAAGTCTCTTTCATAGTAGAGTGTGACAACAAAGTCTGTGAGTGAGACTTGAACAGAAAAAAAAATCACAAGAGAATAAATGGAAATAAGATGAGGTGATGTGATATCCAAGAGATCGGGGTTGCAAAGAGTAAACAGGACAATAAATACAGTTACAAGAAGGAATGAAATTAACTGCAATCTTTTAAAAAAAAATCAGACAAGTAGAGAGCTGATTATCTTGAGGCATGCTTGGATAACTCCCAAACAGCTAATCTAGAATTGTCACATTTTAGATCGGTCCACTGGCTCTACATTTGAGGGACTAAGGGATCAACTACATTACATTTTGTCTCTTTTTTTTTTCCTATGAGATTTACCTATGACTCACTGTACATACTTTGAAAATTAAAACAACAAAAGGAACCAATTTACAAGTGGCTCACAATGCTCAGTCAAGGCTTAGTAATGGGAAGCCTTTTGCTGTATCTTCCTCTTCTTTAAAAAGAATATATGCTTGGTTGTGTTATAGACACTGCCTGCATTTTTCTGTTCTCGATGTGAGAATCTTAAGTGATATTTGAGCATATATTCATCACAGACTCACACACATAATGAAATGCATCATTCTTCAACCTCTTTGCTTGGGCAATGGTCTTTAATTTTCTCTTTGAATTGTCTTGTTATCGTTTCCCATTAGCATTCTTTAGTAGTGACTGAATTCCAAACTGCGCCCCCCCCCACACACAAGAATGTAGGCAACTTCACTCATGGAGTGAATATGTGACCAGCCTTTATTTTCCTGCCAGTATGCTCTCTTCTCTATATCAATTCTCCCTAAACATATAGGTTATGGAGAGTTTGAAGGCAGATAAGTATCTTGTGCAGTTTTGGGGACCATCTCGAGCTCCTCTGGTCTTGTGCTCCCAGCTCAGAACTTGATTTTCTCAGATACACAGACATCTGTTTTGCAGACCCCAAAATATATTCAGGGATTAATAACTATTTTTCAAAATGCCGACAGAGTGTCAAGTTTCCTGAAATGCATTCCCAGAATAACATGGATGAATCTTAAGACAGGAAGTCACACTCCCCAAACACCTGCAAGCAATCTACATTAGGAAACTGCAGATAACAGGTTCCACAAAAACTGGGTCATAAATTCGCTGTTTATAAAAAGAATAGCTACTATTTACTGAGTCCAGCTCTGTATGCACTCTGAATTTTGCTAGGCATCTTACAAACAGGGTTTCTAAGTTTTTCACAAGCCCACAAGGGATGGAGGAACATTGAGGCTAAGGGAGACTTAGAGGTCTAGTCTCTGAAAATATCAAACAGGAAAAAGAAAAAAAGAACCTGCACATACCGTTGGTAGACAGAAGAAAGTAGGCTGCATTCTGCTGAGGGAGCCATCTTATCTTATTGATTTTTTCTTCTATCTCTAAGCTCTTCAG